GCCTTCCCCAGCCTCTAGCAGCTCCTCCTGTGTCCTACAGCAGCGCTCGCTCTGGGTACCACATAGGGAAGCATGGCTGAGCTGGGGCTGGCAGGAGCATGGACCTTGTGCCCAGTGGGCCACGGGAGCATGCAGCTTGGGTGGGCAGGGTGTGGATGGGGTTTGTGGGGTGTGCATGCCCCCCATGGCACAGAGCCCCTGGCGCAGGTAGGCCCTCGGTAAGGCTGTGCAAAGCTTTGGATCATGATTCAGATTTGGAGATAATTCAGAGGCCAAATCTAAAAATCTGAATCGAATCGTGGGAAGCTTTAGGCTTTCCAAATCGATTCGGAAAATATTTGGAGATTCGGCCATAGGGTATAATGGGGAATCAATGAAATATCTGTAACTTTGTTGTCTTATGGATGATTCAGATGGAAATTGCAGGGATGGCATCCTCTGCTGAGAGCATGATGTGTGCCAAGTTTCAAGGTGATAGATGCAGGGGTTTCTGAGAAACTGCCCCTCAAAGTCCTGAAAGCAAAACTCATTTCACATATGTGTGTTAAGCCACAGAAGAGTGAAAACTGCCGGGGTGGTAGGACTAGGGGCTGTCCCTGTATTTTCTGAGGGCCCCTTTGAGTCACCCCAAAGCAGAAATGAGCGTCCCATTGGAAGCAAGTTCTTGTCTCTGGAAACCCAGAGAACAATATTCACTGGAGACGTGCACGTTCCTGCTCCCGAGCTTTGCGTGCTCATGGGCTGGGCCTTGGGTGGTATTTATTAGGACTGCGCCGAATTTCACCACTAGTTTTGTTTCTACACTGTTTCAACCTGTCTCAAGGTCAAAACAGCAAAATTAAAATGAAACAGATATGTTTGAAACAGCCTCGAAATGAAATGAGGCAAGTCGAAGAGTTTCGCCGTTTCGACATTTTGCTATAATGAGGAAGGTCAAAATAGCCTATAACTTTCTCATTTCTGGCTAGATTTAGATAAAACTTGCAGAAATGGTAGCCCCTTCTGCAGGAATAAAGAATGCCAAGTTTCAAGAATATAGATGCAGGGGGTTCAGAGAAACTGTACCCCAAAATCTTGAGAGCCAAACTTGTGTCGTGTATGTGTTAAGCCACAGCAGGCTCAAAGCTACAGGAATGCTAGCCCCTGCTGAGGCCACAAAGCCTGCCACAATTCAAGGAGATAGGTGCAGGGAGTTCAGGGAAACTGCACCCCAAACTCCTGAAAACAAAATTCATGTCACGTGTACTTGTTAAGCCACAGTGGGGTCAAAACTGCAGGCTTGCTAGCCCCTGCTGAGGCCACGAAGCCTTCTAAGTTTCAAGGTAATAAGTACAGGGGGCTGGGGGAACTGCACCTCAAGCTGCAGACAAGCAAAACTCATGACATGGGTGATACTGCGTGTGTTAAGGAGCAGCGGGGTGACAGCTGCAGGGATGGTGGCCCCTGCTGTGACGCCGGCCAGCTGTGGAGGAGATCGGTGCAGGGGGGTTCTGGGTCCCTGCACCCCTAGCTGCTGACAGGCAAAACTCATGACTTGGGTGCTTGTGCAACCGATTGTCTCTGTCTTGGGGCAGTTGATTGTCTGCATTGATTATTTCCTCTCCTTAGCCTGTGGTTTTGTAGGTGTTCATCCATGCTCGTTAAGTCATTATGTAGTAGTTAGGTCCTGTGTATTCACCTGGTCCCTGAGTGAATTATGATTGATTGGTAACTGGTAACACAGTAGCTTAGCAGCCAGGCCTGCAGTAGTCCCCCCCTCCCCACCTTCCAGTGCCCCAAGACAGACAGTTGTACAAACACCCATGACACAAGATTTGCTTGTCTGCAGCTTGAAGTGCAGTTTCCCCAAAACCTCTGCACTTATCTCCTTGAAACTTGGCAGGCTTTGTGGCCTCACCAGGGGGCACCACCCCTGCAGTTTTCACCCTGCTGCACCTTAATACTCACAGGGTCATCTATATCATGAGTTCTGCCTGTCAGCAGCTTGAGGTGTAGTTCCCCCCCAAACCCCTGCACCTATCACCTTGAAATTTGGCAGGCTTGTGGCCTCACCAGGGGCTACCACCTCTATGGTTTTGACCCTGCTCTGGCTTAACACATATACATGGCATGAGTTTTGCTTTCTAGACTTTGGGGTGCAGTTTTCCCAACCCCCTGCACCTATCTCCTTGAAACTTAGCAGGCTTCGTGGTCTCAGTGGGGGCTAGCAAGCCTGCAGTTTTGACCCCACTGTGTCTTAACACATACACATGACACATGTTTTGCTTTCAGGATTTTAGGGTGCAGTTTCTCCAAACTCCGTGCACCTCTCTCCTTGAAATGTGGAAAGCTTTTTTGCCTCAGCAGGGGCTAGCATCCCTGCAGTTTTGACCCTGCTGTGGCTTAACACATACACGTGATGAATTTTGCAGGCAGAAGCCTGCCAAGTTTCAAGAAGATTTGTGCAGGGGTTTGGGGGGAACTGCACCCCAAATTCTTGAAAGCAAAGCTCATGTCATGTGTATGTGTTAAGTAAATCACAGCAGGGTCAAAACTGCAGGGATGGTAGCCCCTGGTGAGGCCACAAAGCCTGCCAAATTTCAAGGTGATAGGTGCAGGGGTTTGGGGGGAACTGCACCTCAAGCTGCTGACAGGCAACACTCATGATATAGATGACCCTGTGTGTGTTCAGGTGCAGTGGGCTGAAAACTGCAGGGGTGGTGGCCCCTGCTGAGGCCACAAAGTCTGCCAAGGTTCAAGGAGATTGGTGCAGGGGTTTGGGGGAAATTGCACCTCAAGCTGCGGACAAGCAAAACTCATGACATGGATGCTTGTGCAACTGTGTCCGTCTTGGGGCACGAGGGGCAGGAGGGGACTACTGTAGGCCTGGCTGCTAAGCTACTGTGTTACCAGTTACCCCTGCATCTACCTCCTTGAAACTTGTCAGGGTTTGTGGCCTCACCAGGGGCTACTACCCCTGGTGTGCGGGGCCCAGGACCTATCAAGCTGTGCAGGGCCTGTGCGGGGGGTAGTGAATGGCTAGAGTGCGGAGCAGGGTGGGGGGAAGTGGCCAGAGTGTGAAGTCAGTGGTGCGCAGTGGCCGCGCAGAGTGGTGGCGCCCTCGGCACATGCCAATGGCGCTGTCTGTGGGTCCGGTACAGCACTTTCTGCAGGGCCCCCCTAAGCGCAGGGCCGGGGGTGGTTGCCCCGATTTGCCCCCCTCAAGGGATGGTTCTGTCTGCAGCTGCTTCCACACCTGAGTCCAGCTCCTTTGGTCCACAGTCCTCGTGACTAAGCCAGTGAGATCTCCAGCTCCGCTGCATACTCTTCAGTGGATGCATCTACACCAGACACTTGAATGCACAGTAGACTAATATACTGTGCATTAGGCCTGTGTGAGTAGGCAGCTATTTGATCCAGCTTCGGATCCGGCCGCTTCAGATGCCAGGGGTCCAATCTGGAGCTCCGGACCGGGTTTCTGCTTCGATCCGGCCGAAGCAGGTCCGAGATTTTGTCACAAGTTTTCCTGTCAGCAGTTAAAGGTGCAGGGCTCCAGAACCCCTGCACTGATCTCCTTGACAGCTGGCAGGCATGGTGGCTGCAGCAGGGGCCACCATCCCTGCAGCTTTCACCCCCCTGTGTTGTAACACATACGCGTGACATGAGTTTTGCTTTCAAGAATATGGAGTGCTGTTCCTCCTGAACCCCTGCATCAATCTTCCTGAAACTTGCTTGGCTTCATGCTCTCAGCAGAAGCTACTACCCCTCCAAGTTTTATCCAAATCAGACAAAAAACAACAAAGTTATAGGTATTTCATTGATTCCCCATTATACTCTATGGCTGAATCGCCAAATCGGCTCAGAATCTTTTCCAGAATTTGGAAGCTCTGAATCGATTCGGAGAGGCTAAAGCTTCCAGCAATTCAATTTGGATTCATAGATTCAGCCTCTGAATCATCCGAATCATCTCCAAATCCGAATCATGATCTGAAGCTTTGCACAGCCCTACTGTGCAGGAAGGTGCAGCCACTGCATAGTAAGGTATATAGATATGTAAATACAGGTAGTAGATTAACTGCACATTAGCTACTGTGCATGTGTAGACAGCTGACCAGGACCAAATTGCTCTGCCAATTGCGCTCAGGGCTGGGAAACAGCTGCAGTGGGGAGGGGACAGTTTCCCAGCCCTAGGGCAAAGGGCTGGGAGGCAGTTTCCACAGAGCCCAAGCTTGACACTAGTGCCCCCTGCCAGCCTGGGACTGGCACCTGGGGGAGCCTGGAGTCTCCTCTAGTTGCTGTAGAGGGACAGAGCTGGCAGGAGTAGCCCTAAACTGAATTGGCACAGTGTAGACGCACTCCTGGGGAAAGCTCACTAAGCAGTATTTTATAAGTCCACCTAAGTAAAGGAGCAACCTGATCAGAGACCCTCCAGATTATGATTTTCAAATCTTACAGGGGGATCAGCCCCCTTGAGCTCCCCCTTAATTCACACCCTGTTAATAGCACTTGCACCCCCAAGCTCCCCATTGGACTGACCAGGTCTCCCCCATTACAGCTTGAAGTTTTCCATTTATACTCCAGTGGTGGGTTTTCTGAGAGGGTGAGAGGGGAACTTAAAATGTCATAGCGCTATGACTATGCATGACACGGTGGTGGAAGGAAGTGAGAAGTACAAGCACACAGCACAGAGCACGCAGCAATGAAGTTGTGCCGACGTTTCTGCTTTCTATTATGCATAGCAGGTAAGCACGGAGCTCAAGGGAAGGGGAGAGGTTTTTCTTTCCAGTGTATTTTAAAGGGTTAATTGGCACTGATCTGGGCTGGACAACCTTGGGCAGACAGCTCAGTGTTGCCTGTATTGGATGATAAACCTGCCTTCCAGAGAGTACATCCCCTCTCTACGGAGAGGGTTTGGACTACAAGGTCAATTGGCCCCACTAAGCCTATTGCATGAAATTCTGCTTAGGACAAAACAATCCCATGCATTGGGACAGGCTGGGGGCCAACTGGCTGGGTAACAGCTCTGCAGAAAGGGACCTGGGGTTGACAGTGGACAAGGAGTTGAATAGCGTGCTCTTGTCTTGGAGCGTGCTCTTGTTGCAAAGAAGACTAACAGTGCCCTGGGCTGCATTGGTAGGAATGTTGCCAGCAAATTGAGGGCAGTGATTATTCCCCTCTATTAGCACTGGGAAGGCAGCATCTAGTCCTGTATCCAGTTTTGGGCCTCTACTGCTGAAAGGATGTGGACACATTGGAGAGACTCCAACGGAGGGCAAGGAAAATGGTTAGTGGGGCTGACGCACATGACTTGTGAGGAGAGGCTGAGAGAACTGGGTTTAATTAGTCCAGAAAAGAGGAGACTGAGGGGAGATTTGATAGCAGCCTTCAACTCCCTGCAGGGTGGCCTCAAAGAGGATGGAGCGGGACTGTTCTCAGTGGGGGTAGATGGCAGAACAAGGAGCAATGGGCTCAAATTGCAGCAAGGAAAATTGAGGTTCAATATTAGGAAAAACTCTCACTAGGAGGGTGGGGAAGCACTGGAACAGGCTACCTAGGGAGGTGGTGGCATCCCCATCCTTGGAAGTTTTTAAGACCTGGCTAGACAAATCCTTGGCTGGGATGATGTAGTTGGGGCTGGAAAGGGGCATAAAGTGATTGTGAATAAATTTGGCTGGAAGTTAGCAGGTGGCTTCTCCGAGAGGAGCAGGGTTCTGGACTGAGCAAAAATCCAACCTGCTTTTTAATCTGGAGTTTGCCAGGGTGTGGATTGTGTAAGGCTACAGTCAGAGCCAGGACCTAGCCTAACCCTAGATTATTAATGAGAGGTATCAACTATATCCTGTGGCAGAGAATTATTGATTTTTGATTACTATTATTGACTGAGTTCATTATACAGACTGCTGTTAAGTCATTAGGTAATTGATGCAGCATCCTCCTAACAAAACATTTGGAAATATATCCCTTGTACGCCAGGCTGCTCTGATCACTTTGTGCCTAAAATATTCAGCTATTACGGAATCTGTGATCTGGGAATCTGCGGTATTGTTGGCCCTTTATCACCGACCAGGAATTGAGCCACATAGCTCACTAGGTCAGGCAGGGAAGTCAGTGGCAAAGCTGGATTATCTATCTATCTATCTATCTATCTCTGTGTGTGTGTGTATACATATACATACACACACACACACACACACACACGCACATACATATGTAAGCCAGGTTTTATATTGATTTAAAATATCTAGATAGATATATCTAGATAGATATAAATTGATATAATCAATAGATCTATCTATATATAATTGTTTCCAGAAGAGTCTGGCTGATGAGTTTTGAACATGGGAGGGGATGGGGGAGATATTTTAGGTTTTTTTAGCTTTCTGAAAGACGGGACAAGGTTTAGGGCTTTCCCCTTTGAATTATACTGGACGGCGAGGCTGCCACAGAAACAATGAGTTTGCCGTTGTAGGGACTGCAGCTGTCTGAAGATCTTCAAATGTGGCGGGTTTCAGAGCAGAGGGAGGCTAGTATATGTGTCTGTGCACTGCCACATTTGAAAACATTTTCACAAGCAACTCCCAGGGGAAGAACTGTGTATTAAAATAGCAACTTGTGCTTTCTGCGGAAACCCTGCCACAGCCTGTGCTCCGCTACACCACTTATCGCGGATTGACCAGGAGGCCTGAGCCACCGCCTGTGCAGCCAGTCCAGTGGGGGGATTGGGTCTGAAGGGGGAAGGGGGACTGAGTTTGAAGCAGGCACAGATATTATATAGCTGTACAGTTGTACAGTGTATATATAGTTGTACAGCTATATGGTGTATATGTAGTTGTACAGTTATATATTGTACAGTTGCTCCCCTGTCTGAGCCCTTTGCTGAACCAGTCAGTCCCCAAAGGGGCACCCAGCCCTGCTGCCCTTCCAGATCTGTCTTATGACCTGGGCTGTCCATGGGCCAGTGCCCTCCTCCAAAGCATTCTGGCTCCATCTTCCTAACCATACCTGAAGGCCAGGCCTGGTATTAATGCTCCCATCCAAATTGTGGCCTCATGTCACACTGCTCCATGGCAGCTACCGGGCTCTACGGGAACTGAGGGGCCTTAACTGCTGCCTTAAGGGATGGAGATCCCTGAAGGCACGGACAGGCTCAGCAATGATACCGTTTGAAAGCAGAGAGGGGCTTAACAGTGGTTCCAGCTGGACGCAGACCCGGAGGGTGAGCATAGCTCCACCTGAGTCATGCCCATGGATGAGGCTGTGGGTGCAACCCCCGACGGAAGCTTTGTGCAGTTCCAGAAAGTCCGATAGAAAAGGAACAGCTGTCATCGTAGCCGAAGAGGAAGGAAAACCACCGTAGTCAGGGCATACACATTGCCTTTCTTTTTCCTAAGAGGCTGACGCTGACATTCTCGAAGACCCAGCACTGACCGCTCACAGCCCTTAGTGGTGACCACTGCGCTTTACACCCGCAAGTTATTTCTCATCTGAGCTCAATTTTCCACTCCACTTTGGGTTGTCATTTATAGGTATGAAGTGTGAAACAGGCAGAACACATGGGGGAGGGGGACAGGTGTCAGCAGAGCCACACTGGTGAATAAGACATGCCAGCACATTGCCGTCACACAAACACCAATGCCCACAGGTATCTGAGGACAAAGGTTTGTGCTTCATCCAAGGTGGAGGTCAGGGCAGGATCAAAGCTTCCATCTCTTCCCTCTGACTCCAGTCACATCATCATTAGCATCCATTTGCCCTTAATTTGCTCAAAATGCTAGTCCAGAGGCCCTGCCATCACATGGGGAATCACCACACCATGACATCACATCAGGGCTTGATGACATCAGCATGGATTGATGCCTCCTGTGATGAGCGATGGTTGAAGGCATTTATATGCATCCCATGAGCACTAATACCCTGCTCAGATCTCACAAAGACAGCATCTACCCTGAAGACTTTAGGCTCCAAGCAGACTAGGCAAAGGAGGGTTTGTACCCAAGAGATGGAGACAAAGCCATTGCTCCAGCATTTATAGGCAGGGATGTTACTAGGGTCTTCTTATACCTCTACAACTCTCTGGCCCATGCTCTCGTGCTTTGTAGAGGACATAGGCAAAGCAAGGACTTAGCTGTGGTCTCTGTCACCCTGGGTTTTCTCACCAGGACCACTTCTCTGGTGTTTCTTCCTGGGAGGTCTCTCAGCTGTTTCTGCAGAAATGCTGAGGATTAGTTCCTGTTCCTGCTTCTCTGCAGAGAAGTTGCTCCAATCCCCTTACCAAAACAGATGCAAACAGGAAGGTGGCTCAGGCTACCCCGGTCAGGCTTGATGTGAAACAGGGGAAAACCAGGCTCTGATTTCCCACCCTCTTATTTTCATATCCCTCCCTGCAACATGCAAGGTCAAGGTTCATCTGAGATCTGATCTGAATGATCACCCCTGCTGTGAATAACCATCAAACTTCTAAGTGGAGGTAGGGAAGGGAGAAGGTGAGATGGATGCAGAAGGGAGAGGGCAAGGCATGAAATAACTCTGCCTCTGACCTTAGCAAACCATTCAGAATCAGGACCACTGCACTGACTAATGGCGTGCAGCATGCACAGACACAACCAGCTGGATGGATGCCGATACCGATACCTTTTATTCATAAAGCATCTTATTATGAGAACACCCCTGTGACCAGGCGCTGGGAGCAAGTGCTACTGTTAAAATCCATCTGTTCACAGCTTGCAGAACTGGAGAAGCTATGAGCAGCTAGAGAAGAAATATTTCCAGTAATGGCAGGGTTTATGACCTATATGATAAAAGCACAGGAGATCAACATATTTGTCTTCGCTGAGAAGCAGACTACATGGGTTTCCTTGTTAGCCACTCCCATGACAGGTTATTATCTGCAGTTTCCCATCAAAATGTGCAGAGACTACAGAAAGTTTTAGACTCTTGGGTATCTCCTGTGCAGCTCTGAAGACAATTTAAGAGCTTTGCAATGCCAGCTGTGTTACTATGTGTGTGTTAAGAACAGAGGCAACGGGTCATTTATCCTCACCAGGAGCTCTGCTTGCCTCTCGCATCTGGAAACCTTCATGGGGATTCATTTGGAGCAGGGGCAGGGACTGGCTGGGGGCTGATCCCAGATTTCAAAGCACTCAGAGTGAGGGGAAGATAAAGCTGCCCAGGGCAGTGGGGGATCAGCCATGGCAGAGTCTTGTTCTGCCCTCTGTCATCCCTTGGCATGCCTCCTCACCTCTCCCTGACCCACCCCCAGCCCTGGTTTGTCCCACCTCTCCCACTGCTGGTGCAGCAAGAATGAGAGCCATCTGCAGCTTGGTACCAGCAGGGATTTGCCCAATTCAGGGGGGCTTCTGTGGTTCCCATGTGCACAGCACGGAAGTAAACTTGGCAGACTGGGGAATCCTGTCCAGTTCCTGGCAGTGCCCAGACTTTTATAATGCCCCAGGGATCCACAATCCCCTGCCAGGTCATCTGGAGTGCTCGAGGCCCCAGGCTTCTTGCTCTAATTGCAAAATGCCCATTCCCATCTGGCAATAGTCTCTATCCCATCCACAAGAGCACAATACAACTACAAACTTTCCCTTTGCCTGAGGAAGGGTGTTTGTACCTAAAAGCTTGCAAAGAACAATTTTTCCAAATATGTAGTTGGACCAATATCATATTTATCCAAAGAACCTTGTCTACCTATGTTCCCATCTGAACACTTTATTAGACCTTTATATAATCACCATCTGTTTCCAGATGCAATGTGAGGTGTGTCCCTGCTCGCCTATGAGGCTCTCAGTGACCAGGACTGCAGAAAATGTGCTCCAGGCTCTAAGAGGTGTTGAGGAAGAGGGAAGCTTTTGGGGAGACAGGGGCATGGAGGGAA